ATGTGATTATTTTAATTATTCTCAGTAAAAATTTTGAACTTTATTTTAAAAATTTTTATTATGAAATCAATAGTATTGCTCTGTAAGCTTTTAAAGTGCATAGCAGAGATTTATTTTTATCGCGTATACTTAATATCCTACAATATCACATTACAGTCATCAATACCGGCAGCAGCGTGCAAGCAATGGAGTAATCAAGGTCTAAAATGATGCCGAAAAAAAAATCATTATAGAAAAAAACCAATCAAATGAGGCAGAAGTTAGCATTGGATATAAAAAAGAGAGTAAAGGGCCCGCAACGGACGGCGATTTATATGCAAGATTTGGTAAGATAATAAATAATACATTATTATAGTACACCAATGTATTTTCAAAGTCGCATTATTGTAAGAGAGATGAGTCCATGGTTAATCCAACTGATTCTTTATATGTACGAAATCTTTCTATTGCAATCATACATTTAATTTTATTTTGTATATCTTCTGCTCAGTTACTTCCTTCTACTCTTGTTAGAGCGTAGTGATCCCTTATTGTATTTCTGTGGTGTGCGCTATTTACGATTACGCATACATATACAGGATCTACAGTTTAATGCTAATTCCGAACGGCATTAACTATAAAATTAGAGAAGTTTTCATGGCAAAATATACTCTCGTTGGTTTGCCAATACCTTCCGAGAGGTAGAGAATAAATATCTGATGTTTCTGGTCGGATTTGAACTCGGGTCTTTAACATAGAAAGCACATCAACTCTTTGCGCGCCATGATCGTTACATTTTGTATATACATATATTGAAATATAAATATAAATTTAACTTGAAGAAATTCAGGCTCGTATAATGAATAACCATAAATAGCTCAATAATGCCTTTGCGAGCCAACATAAATGTTGGTGTGTAATCATTTTTACTGTTACAATATCAAACTGTGCGCCGCATATATTGTCGATCTTGAAACACAGTTCTTACATGATAAATATAAAGTTATTACAAATAAGTCTGTAATTTGTGATAGAATTTAGAATAGAGTCATATTCATAATTGTGCAATATACATCTATGCAAAGTATATACAGAATACACTTAGAACATACATTATTATAAAACATTTTAACTCGAATTCCACTAATTTAATCTTACAACAATTCCATTAAACACATAGAAATATGTTTAATTTTTTCAATTTTTATAACTACTTATTGTTAGTCCTGGGATGAAGAACTAGGGACAATTGCGCAGAGATGGACCAATCAGTGTATTAAACATTATGACGATTGTAAGGACGTAGGTAAATAATAATTTATGCAATTACACTTGTATAATTTTGTTAAATATAATAACACATTATATTATATTTATTATTATAATAAATATCATTTCACAGAAAGATTCAAAGTTATACAGTACGTAGTCTCGAAATCCTCTGTGGATGAAAAGGAATTCACTTTAGAAGACATGTTACAAACAGGATATAATAATTTAATTGAAGAGGGAAGACGTTATTATTCCGCATATCCGTAAGTATTTCAAATTAGATATTCTATCATATTTTACACACGGTGTGTTAATGATATTGAATATGTATTTTAAATAATAAATTTATAAATTTGCAGAAATCCTTTTAACGTTAAAAATTTAAATGTTTAAATATCAAGTAAAGAGAAGAAATATTCGTGTAAAAATTTTATCAATTTAAATAATTATTTAAAGTACATCTATACAATATATATTTATTAAACATAAAATAATTTTATATATAATAACAATTTTATTTTTATAAAATGATCTGTATTAGGAATATTGTACACACAATGGAAGATTTTAGTTATAATCTCTGGGCTAACATGACAAAAGTCGGATGTGGACAAATAAAGTTTAAGGAACCAAATGGCTTGACTACGTATCATGGAGTTTGCAATTATGGTCCAAGTAGAAAGTAGAAAAAATGTATAAAATACAATAAAAAAATAGATTTGGCCATTTTTCAATAATTTAATTTAAAAGATAAAAAGTAACATAACATAAACTTTTGTATTTTTTAAATACATTAATATGATGTGTCATTCTTATTTAGATCCGGCAAATTAATGAAAATATTATTAACAAATTTTTGATCAGGAGCAATATGATGTAGTTTATATTATAGATAAAAATATTTTTACAAAGAAATATTTATTATTGTACTTGCGAGAAAATGAATGAAATTAATCAGCAGGACTAACAAAACAAAATGTTTCAATGTACGAAGTTCTTAACGATGGATTGAGGGGAGTTAAATAAAATTTCTCATATATTTTCTACCACGTGTTTTTTAATTTCTACATGGCAAAAGTAAATGCTTTGATGTTATTTTTTAAAATAAAATTATTAACAAGTTTTTCCATATTTAATTTATTGACAGTTTTTTTATGAATATATAACGTTGCAATGTATGATTTAAACATTTTTTAAAACATTGTCAAAGGTAATTTTTTAAATGTTTTAAATAACTTAAATTATAACAAGCTAGGATACGTATGTAAAATCACATAATAAAATAATTGTAGCACCAAGATCCTGGTATAACCGTGCATTGGCCTATCTTATTCATTGTGTGTGAAACACTTAATCGGTTGTAATAGATATACAGGGTGTTCTCGGGTTAAACGGCCAAACTTAAAATATAAATTCAGGACATGAAAACAAACAAAAATTTTCCTCTGGACGTATGCTCGCAAACGCTTCTTTTAAGAGATATTAACTTATGAAGTTACAGAACTGTAATATGAATAAATAATGTCGAAATAAGGTACATCCTCTTTATTGCTTTATAATAATCAAAATTATTATATTAAATATTTTGTTCAAAATGATGGCCTCCAGTCCGGTAATAAATGCTGAACACGTTGAAGGTGGTATAGATGACGTCCATCAGCTGAAAGTGTCTTCCATATGACTGTGGGTGAAATTCTTAACCCAGAACCAGATCTTCGGGTAATTGTTGATGAATTTTGATCGAAATGCTGCAATATGATGGCTATTCTTCTTTCATTTTGCAGTGATGCAAAAACTTCATCAGCCCGGGGGACCACGTTAAATGACCCAGTTTCCTTCAATCGTTGAAATGTTAAAGAGAATACTGATTTATTCGGCAATCTTCTGTTCGGAAATCGCGCGGCGTATTCACGCCGAGCAGCGTTAAAATTTCCATCACGAAACCCATATAAATATACCATATCGGCATATTCACTATTAGAATACGTACAAGACATGATTGTAAATTTATTCTACAAAAGCATTCAACGAACTAATAACTATGAGTTACGAGCTACGAACTGCGAGCTTTGCGAACAAAAGCCTATCAATGACCTTCGAGCTTCAACTTCATAAGTAAATATCTCTTGAAAGAAGCATTTGCGAGCATACGTCCAGAGGAAAATTTTTGTTTGTTTTCATGTCCTGAATTTATATTTTAAGTTTAACCCGGGAACACCCTGTATATATTGTTTGACACGTTGGCCTCAATACACATACGTTACACTTTAAATAATTATTTGAATTTACGCGGCTGGAGAATACGCTAGATTATTTATTGCGACGAATGTTATCATATGCCTCAGTGGTCTAAAG